CCCCCAATCGGCCCTACCCTGAGCGTGACTGAGGGTGGCATCGCAAACTCCCGATCCGCCCTGCTCTGTGCATGACAGGGGGCAGCGCCCCAACTCCCCAATTGGCCCTGCTCTGAGCCCGACCAGGGGCTGAACCTAGGGATTGGGCCTGCCCTCTGCCACCCGGGAGCAGGCCTAAGCCAGAAGGGCGTTATCTCCTGAGGGGTCCCAGACTGTGAGAGGGCACAGGCTGGGCTGAGGGACTCCCCCTCCCCCTCGAGTGCACAAAATTTTGTGCACCGGGCCTCTAGTTGTGATATAATAAGAAATATGGCCCTAACTGGTTTGGCTCAGTGGATAGAGCATTGGTCTGTGGACTGAAGGGTCCTGGGTTCAATTCCATTCAAGGGCAAGTGCCGGGGTTGCAGGCTCGATCCCCAGTAGGGAGCATGCAGGAGGTAGCCATCAATGTTTCTCTCTCATCGTTGATGTATCTATCTCTCTCTCCCCCTCTCCCTTCCTCTCTAAAATCAATACAAAATATTTTTTTAAAAATTTTTAAAGCTATATGTATTTTGTCTTTGTCCCAGATCCCTAGCACAGAATATTCTGTTATTCCTAACAAGTCCCTTTCCATCACACCTAAAGAGGTGACTTAAGGCGTGGCCCCTAGATAGCCTCAGGATGGGGCGGATGCCAGAAAGACCAAAGGATTGGAGGGTTGTAACTTTCAGCCACACCCTTGACTCCCAGTGAAAGGAGGAGAGTTCTGTAAAAACAGCCTTCAGAAGCTAAAAGGGCAAGGAAATGGAGTCTCCCCTGGAGGCCCCCTAGATTTTCCCCTAGAGCCCATATTTTAGCCCAGTGAGACCCAAATTAGACTGTGAGATCATAAATTTGTGTTGTTGTTGTTGTTTTGGAATAATTATAGATTTACAGAAAAGTTGCAAAAAGAGTATTCAGAGTTCCCACATTCCCTTAATACTAGTACTTAAGCCTTTTTTAAAAAATAGACCAGCCCATTAGGGAGTTCAGTCAGTTAGAATATTGTCCTGATACACTAGGTTGCAGGTTTGATAAGAGCATATACAAGAGGGAACCAATGAATGCATAAATAAGTGGAACAACAGATTGAAGTCTCTCTCTTCCTTCCACTCTCTCTCAAATCAATAAATAAAAGAAAAAAATAGACTTAGAACAGTTTTAGGTTCACAGCAAAAATGAGGAGAAGCTACAGAGACTTACCATATAGCCTCACCCCCCTCAATATGAATGTGTGTTGCTTTAAGGCCATTACATTTGTAGCAGTTTGTTAGAACAATTAAAAAAATAATAATAATACAATGACAAATGGCATTTCTAGGAAAAAAAAGAGAGAAGTAGATTGTTTAAAGTGCTAAAGAAAAACGAGAGAATAATTAATCCAAAATTGAGTATAACTGTTAGTTCCAGTGAAGGTATGGGGCACGTTGGTGGGACACCGCAAGACAGGGCTGCACCAGCTTCTAAGTTGCTTCTGTGGGAGCTAGAAAAAGGACCATTCTCTGGGCAGATGAATTAGAAAATGACAGCCCACAGCCTAGCAGCAGACATAATCTTTGTACCCAAGGAGACCTCCCTCCCCTTGGCAAGGACCTCTGTGCAGTGCACAACTTGCACCCACCACAGTGCTGGCAGCCCCACCACAGACCTTCAGGGGTTTTGTAATGTTCTGCTTCTCAAACTGGGTGGAGGATACATGGATTCGTTTTTCAGAATTATCCTTCAAGCTATGTATATACATTACATACTCTTGTATAAATATTGTTGCCAATTTTAAATGTTAAAATATCAGCAATGTGATGAAATGTAGGGCCATTCCCCTCTGCATACAATCTAAAAATCAGCAAGTTCTGAGTGATGTTTTTCTTAACTCCATGTAATCTCTTTTCAGAGTTGGAGCAAGTTACCCTTGAACAGGAAAACAGGATTTCCCTTCTTTCAGCCTATCCCTATCTTAAATAAGAGGTTGTGTCTGTTTTCTCACCCAGATGTTATACACAGTGGTAGGAGCGGAATGTGCAAACTCCAGAGAAGTTGGTGGGCACCTGTAATCCAAGAAAGCTCCCTGAGACCTAAAGCGGAATTTCATTATTAGGAATCTGGCCTGTCTGATAAAATCAGACATGCTGACTCCAGAGGAAACAAAGAGATATCAGGAGTCTTAGATTCTGAGAAACTGCAACTCTGAGTTCACCTTGACCCTTCCAAAGAAGTCCAGGACCTTGCTTTAATATTTTTTTTTTTAACAGAGCACTTTGGGTAGACAGACGGCTACCGAAATACCTCTCTCTTGCTCCCAGGCAGTCCTGCCATCTTCAGAAGGGTCACTTGGGTTCACTGGTCCAACAATCCAAGCCGCAAACCATGAAGAGGAAGTTTTGCTTCTTACATACGAGCTCTTCCTGCCCTTCCGGACCTAAGACATGCTTGGCTCTACCCAGCTATTATGTTGAACCTACCATAAATAAGTACTCAGAGAGGGGTTGAGAGATGTCTCATTTATACCACCACCCTTTATAATTTAATTTCATATATATTAAGTCCTCACTTACTAGTAACATCATCAATAGGTTCTTTAAGAAAAATTATGCATAATGAAACCAATTTTACCATAGACTAGTTGACATTAACAAGAGTTAAGTTCCTATGGCTATTTCTGGTCACAAAAACATCACCAAACTTCTAAATAAAGACCCAAAAACCTTCTAATATTAAATACTGAAATAAATGTGAGTTATACAATCATTTAAGAAAGATTAATAAAAACAAGTAGAATCATTATTTTCCAACCTGCTATTGCAGTTTAAGGTCACGAGTGGTCGGAGCCTGTCCCGGCAGATCAGGGTGCAAGGTGGGAACCCACCCTGGACAGGATACCTTGCATTGCAGGGCCACTCACACACAGACCCCACTCAATCAGACGGGGACAATGCGGACATGCCAGTTCACCTCATGTGCATATCTTTGGGATGTGGAAGGAAATTGGAGTACCCAGAGAAAAACCATGCAGACATGGAGAGACCTGCATGCTCTACACACACAGTGGCCCCAGTGGGAATCCATTTTTTTCTCATCAATGTTATAAAATGACATTGAGCAAAATGATATTATTTGAGGAACCGCTGTACAAAAATAATATATAGTCATCAGGAAAATTCAAAAAATGTAGAAGACTAAAGAATAAAAAGCAAAACTCTCTCTTTACCCTGTAATCTTACTCCCTTTACTAAAGCTAAACTTTATGAGATACTAGAGGCCTGGTGCACAAAAATCATGCACTCTGGGAAGGGGGGTCCCCTCAGCCCAGCCTGCGCCCTCTCACAGTCCGGGAGCCCTCGGGGGATCTCTGACTGATGGGGAGCGGGCCTTAGCTGACAGCTAGACATCCTTAGCACTGCTGCAGAGGTGGGAGAGGCACCAGCGTGAGCCCAGCTTCTGGCGCACTGACCACCAGGGGGCAGCTCCTGCATTGAGCGTCTGCCCCCTGGTGGTCAGTGCGTGTCATAGCGACTGGTCATTCTGCCATTTGGTCGATTTGCATATTAGCCTTTTATTATAGAGGATATCCTCCCACACCTCTTTTCACACAATTATAAAATGCACACACTCACAATTATTTTTCTTAATATAGAAAGGATCATACTATAATGTTCTATAATGTGCTTTTTACAAATAATATTCCATAAAAATATGTCTATATTAGTAAATTTAAGTTTTTGCCAGTTTTCTATATTAAAAACAGTAGTGTAATAAATGCTTGTACACTCGTGTATATTTGTGTTTAACAGATTCCAGGAAACAAAATTGCTGAGTTAAAGAGTAACACATTTAAAATTTAATAGATACTACCAAACTTACCTCAGAAGAGGCTTTGTGAACAGTATAGGAGAATGACTATTTGCTTAAATGTTCACCAACCATGGATATTATGTATATTTTCACTTTTTGCCACTTTGATGAGCAAAAACAATAGTACACATTATTTAACTTATATTTTCCGAATTACAAATGAGGCTGTGTATATGCTTCCTGGCCAGTTGTATTTCTTATCCAGTGCATTACTGATCCATCGCCATTGCCTATTTTTCTGCTTGTAACTTCCTCATTTTGATCATAAGAGTGGCTACTATATATTGAGCACTTGGTTGTGTGCCAGCCTCTGCACTAAATGCTTTAAAATGTTTTTTTCTTTGAACATTCTGTACATGAGAAATATGAGAAACATATGGAGATGAAATTCAAACCATGGTCTTTTTCACTGGTCTCTTTTACTCTAAAAGCTGCACTTTCTCCACTGTATCACTATACCAAAAAGCTTCATTTTGCTGAAACGCAGAAACTCCAAATGGAGTGACTTACCAAACATAGCCCCGTAGCTACATGCCCATCTCAGTCCGGACCACTGGCAAGTTTTCACCACCCTGGTCTTACTTGAAAACTGCAAAAAGACTGTTCAGGCAAATTTATCAGACTTCACTGCCTATAATATCTGTGTCCTTAGAGATAAAGAACCAACCCGCAGGACAAGGGTCGAAGATAAAATAGAAACTTCAAAACATGGAGACCTTGGCCCCATTCCATCCATATCTCAGTCAAAGCAGAGGGCTGATGGCAGGACAAGCCAGCTCTAAGACTAGTGTGATTTTCAGTCACCTCCCAGCACCCACCAGCCATGCTAATTTTTTAAAAATATATTTTTATTGATTTCAGAGAGAAAGGGGGAGGGAGAGAGAGATAGAAACATCAATGATGAAAGGGAAACATTGATCAGCTGCCTCCTGCACGCCCCCCACTGGGGATGGAGCCCGAAACCCGGGCATGCTGCGCCCTTGGGAATCGAACCCGGGACCCTTCAGCTCACAGGCCAACATTCTATCCACTGAACCAAGCCAGCCAGGGCTAATTTTTTTTTTTTTTAACACTGAGGCTGGATGAACTGTTAATCATAGGCATGAGCAGCAAACAGTTTGAAGTTCTGCTCTTTAAAAAAATCAAGATGTTTATCTTACAGCCCTTCTATTAACCCAGAATGAAAAGTGTCCTTAAGAATTTCACCTTTTTTTCTCAAATGTGATTAACCTAATGAGAGGTGTAGGAAATGTAATTTTATGATTTTATTGTTCATATTAATCATAATCTTCTAAAGAAAAGGAGGATGGAGTAAATTATGTCTGAGAAGCTGCCAAACTTCCTTCCTTCCAAAAGCATTAATTAAATGCTTGTGTAATCCTATATAATAAAAGCCTAATATGCAAATTGACCAAACATCAGAACGACTGGTGGAAGGACCAGTCACTATGATGTGCACTGACCACCAGGGGGCACATACTCAATGGAGGAGCTGCCTCCAGCCCCCAGGTCCCAGGCCAGCCAAGGCAGGTGCCAGTGGGGGCCCCCCCAATTGCCCCACTGGTCGCCCCACAGACCGGCCCTGATTGCCAGCCAGGCCTAAGGACCTTACCCATGCACCAATTTTGTGCATCAGACCTCTAGTAAATTGATAACAGCTTGAAGTGGGGTATGTGGAGGTGCATTAAACAAGTCTTTCTACCTTTATATAATTAAACCTTTCCAACAATAAGAAGGTGTGTGTGTTTTTAAAGACTTATGTGCCAGACACTGGAGGTCCAGCAAATTGAACATAGTTCCAATTCTTCTGAGGATCAAAAATCCCTTTCATTATTATGTCAACATGTTACAAAGCACTTTCACATGTGGTATCTGAGTCATCCTATAAACACATTATGTTTGCAAATTCAATGGAAGCCTCCTACCTTTCATTCTTTTCTTCCTGATCTTTCTTTGTTCTCTGAGATAAATCTAACATAGGCCCAAACTCTAACAAGTAGGATTGTGGTTGGGGGTTGGGAGAGGTAAGTGAGACCTTTATCCTATGGGTGGAATTAGTTTCAGGATGCTTCAGAATCCTGAAATACCATCTCCACCCTTTTAAATACTTAGGGTGAGCCTTTCACTCACAAAATCTTCCTTTAAATTCAGGTGATTCTCTTATTTCAAGACAGTTAAACTGGGTCAGAAAAAGAGTCACTTCCCCAGGATTAGATAGCAAAATGGAGTAAAATTTCATTCCCTTCACCTCCCAGAATCTCACTCTAGTGAAGCTCAACCATGAAGGCTAGAGGTCTGATGCTTATAACTAAGTTATGTTTTAAATCAGATCGATGACTGCTCCATAGAGCTGCCCAAGAAACTCATTTACCTTTGAATTCTGTCACCCTCAGCTCTCAGAGTCCACAGGATATGTTCTGCTTCAATTCTCTTTTAGAAGTTTCTACCTACTAATATTTCCCATGTGGTTGTAACGTCCTATTCATGTGTACAAATGTACACATTCCTTAAGTTAGCCATGAAAAATTCCAGAGAGTTCAGCCTTACTGGGCATAGCCTCTTGCTTCTTTGTTGTCTAATTCTTTTTTGCAAAAATTGTTTAAAATATGTTTTTATTGATTTTAGAGAGAGAGGAAAGGAGATGGAGAGAGAAAAACATAGATTTGTGAGAGAAATATCAATTGGTTGCCTCCCATATATGCCCTGACAGGGATCGAACCCATAACCTAGGTATGTTCCTGACTGGAATCGAACCATCGACCTTTTCACGCATGGGATAATGCTCCAACAAAGTGTGAGTAAAGGAGTTTATGCCCAAAGACAAGCCTGGTTGTCAGAGGTCAGCACTTTCCTATTATCCCCACCTCACCCATAATTACTTCACCTCCCACCCTATTTGCACACAACCTAGAATTGGATGCTTCTTTCCTCCTTCCCAGGAAATTTAGGTAGATTTTGATGTAAAAGCAGCTCCAAGGATTCTCCAGGTTCTTTCAGAGACACAGCTAAGCAATTATTTCTTTGTCAAAAGATCTACACCAGCCACTACAGTACAGACACACAATTTTCCAGAGCTGAGGTAGACAAAGTAAAAGGCAATGGACAGAAGTGCGATGGCTGGAAGGAAGTCCTGGTTTCCCTAAGCATCACTCCTACAGCTTTGTGGGGGAGCTACAGAGGCGCTTGCCTGACTCAGCCAGGGCCATGCTCCCAGGCTAAGAAGTGAAACACTGCTGGGTCCCAAGGTCAAAAGACGACAAACATTATGGAATATATTTGTCCTGGGACTGACTGGCTTTTCTCTCAGCTCCACAGAATTTAGCACTGCCTCATCTCACACATGTTCTCAATGCTGAGATAGATCCTAGTGGCCGACAAAGCCATGGAGATAAAGGACCAGACTAGAAGACACCCTGACAGCCCCAAGTAGAAGAGCTGGCTCAAGTTGCAAGACATCTAATTGCTCGAGAAGGGGAACCTGAGGTTTTCCCCAATAGCTCTAAGCACAGCCTATTCTTAGCATCTCCTGGCACCAGCCATTGTACCGGAAGGTTCAGTAGAGCCAAGTGAATGAGAGAAAAAAAGCTCCCATTATCCCTAAAACAAGCCTACTTCACCTCCCAGCCTCTGAGAGAACACCAAGCAATGAGAACAGCAACCAATGAAGCATGGGAAGAAAGTATTACCTCATCAGGGTGCGACCCCATTCGCTGACATTACTCTGGGCAAGCCTTTAACTGGAGTAAATTAACCCTTGTCGGGGACACAGACTTCACAGGAGACTCCTCGCCTCCCCTACTGCTCCTTATTTTCAAATTTTAAAAAGGAGTGGATGGGGAAACAATAGACCTTTCCTAACATTTTCTTAAGTATATCTATATATATAAAAGCCAAGTGACCAGAACAATGGAACGACCGGTCACTATGACGCACACTGCAGCGGCAAATCGATCGGTCCCTCCAAACCTCCCACAGCCCCTCCCCCCTCTGTCCGCCCAGCCCCAATCGGCCCCCATTGGGGCAGGTGGCTGGACCCCACCCATGCACGAATTCATGCCCCGGTCCTCTAGTATCCTTCCTATATAATAAAAGGCTAATATGCAAATTGTACCCTCAACCTGGAATTCGACCAGGGAGTGGGGCCAGCCAGCCAACCTCCCGCCTCCCCTCCCCCCGGCCGGCCCAGCCCGATCGGCCCCGATTGGGGTGGGTTGGCCGGACCCCACCCATGCACGAATTAGTGCACCAGGCGTCTAGTAGTTATATAATGGTTATGAGCCAGTTTAGATTTCCTCATCCAAAAAATTATTAGACAAAAAGCCATTTGCAACAAATTGATAAGGGAGAGTCAAGAGAAGGAGGTAGTCAGGCTTGTTCTAAACCTGCAGTGTAACTGTCAGAGGGACAAACACCAAAAAGAACAATAAAAATGAACACACTTTGGAGCACACTGGCAAGAAACTGACCTTGTTTTTGCAACTTATTACTTGAAGTTCTTTTCATAGCTACAGCCTCCGTTTTTAGTGCAAACTGCCAAAAGATATCCTGTTTTGTGGGGGTTGTTTTACATTTTAAAAATATATTTTTATGATTTCAGAGGTGAAGAGAGAGAGAGACAGAAACATCAATGATGAGAGAGAATCATTGATTGGCTGCCTCCTGCAAGCCCCACACTGGAGATCAGGGATCGAGCCCACAACCTGGGCATGTGCCCTGACCGGGAATCAAACTGTGACCTCCTGATTCATAGGTCGACACTCAACCACTGACCCACGTGGACCAGACCTGTTTTGTTTTTTTAAAAAGCAAATAAATGTCAGCAGACAGATGTTCTAGTTTATTACTTCAATCCTATAATGAATAAAGCTCTCAGTAGACCTGTCTTTCTGCCATCAAACCCCATAGTTAATAGAACCAAAAACAAGATTGTTTTATGTATGCTTCAGAAACTGTTTGCATTTAGTAATTAAAATCAGGGGAAAGGAAGGCACATCTAAGATGACCTTGCTTCCATCAAGTAGAGGTTATTAGCGTTCATCTAAGAACTGATTTGCAAACAAGGCATGGAAGCCACTCTAATTTCAAATATTGAGAGCTGAGTATTTGCGAAGAGAGTCCTGTTTTCATACTGTATTCAGAGGCTATTTTGGCAACATATTAGTAATTATATATTTTATTCTTTTTCAAATTTATTTTTTATTTATTTCAGAGAGGAAGTGAGAGGGAGAGAGAGACAGAAACATCAATGATGAGAGAGAATCATTGATCAGCTGCCTCCTGCAAGCCCCACACTGGGGATTGAGCCCACATTGAGTCATGTGCCCTGACTGGGAATCGAACAATGACCCCCCTGGTTTTTAGGTCGATGCTCAACCATTGATCCATGTCAGCTGAGCATCTTTTATTCTAAATTGATTTAAACTTAAAATTGACAGAATGTAGTGGTGAGGATTGTTGCTGATTTATGTTGTTGTTTTCCTAAGGGCTTAAAAACAGCTATTTTTCCTTGAGGTAGGCTAACCCAATGGCTGGTTCACTTGCCTGACAATGTAGCTCACAGTCAAGACTCCTTCCACTTTGTGGCCAAGCCTATTTGAACCCAGCCCAGACTGCAACCCACCAGTCTCAAGCATGTCAGAATCTGTGTTGAAATCTTCAAACTGGCTCTAGCTGGTTTGGCTCAGTGGATAGAGTGTTGGCCTGTGGACTGAAGGGTCCCAGGTTCGATTCCAGTCAAGAGCACATGCCTGGGTTGCTGGCTTGAT